AGAAGCTGGTGATGAACCCGCAACCCAACCCGCTGTAAATGTGCCAATTAACACATCTGTAGACGACAGCACCGTTGGTTTGAATGGCAAGAATGCTATGAGTGGTTATATATCCGAAGGCCATTTTGACTATCGCGAAGCAAATAATGCAAATCCGAATTTAGAACGCAGTAAACTTATGCGTAAAAGTTTCCATGGCAGTGGAAGACAATTAACAGTTGTTGCTAAAGTAGCTCCACCACCACCAATGCGTGTAGGCTCCACCTTAACTCAACAACAACTGCAGCAACAAATGTTACAAGAAGCTGCTATGATACAATATCATCATGAAGCCAATCTCTCAAATATATCAACAATGAGTTCAAATACATCTATCAGCGATGATTCTTGTCAAACTATTATCACCACATGCGCACAAGTACACTCTGAACAGAGTCCTCTCAAGGATAGTTCATATAATAGCACACAATATCAGCAACGAAATGGTTATGTTGATCGTGGTGTAGATGAAGTTGATGGTGGACGCATTAACATAAACGCTGGTCATCCTGTAACCCAAGATGTACCATTAGAATTGCCTCCTTATCCGAGTCCTCCACAATCCACTTGCCATTCACGTCAAGCTAGTGAAGACTTCCCGCCTCCACCGCCCGAAATTGATCTTGAACCGCTCAATCAGCAAATCAATCAAATACATGCACTAGAAGCCAACAAGCAGCAGCGCCATTTCGAAGCAATGGAGGGCACAACAAGTATTTTGGCTCAACTGCAACAACGCCAGCACTTGCTGAAGATGCGTAAGGAACAAGCCACACCTACACATGAGAGTGCTTGGCTGAAAGAATTACAAACAAAGCAAACTGATCTCAGAAATATGTCACAACGCAAGCCAGAATCGCCTGTCCCAGCTACTCAAACATCTAACAGTGTACGCGATTTGGCTCATCGTTTTGAACAGACTAAACTAATAACGGAGCCACAAGCAATGCGTTCTTATGCCTCACAGGAATTGCTTAACAGCAAACCACCACAAATACGCACTCAAATGAATGGTTTGCCCAGTGCTAATGGTATAATAGCAGCACAATCGAAAATAGAAGTTGATGAAGTGGATTGTGCACCACAACGTATCCAACGCCTGCCACCTCATCAAGTGTTACCAAAACCTAAATACGATGTGACGCAAACACAAATAGCTGAGGAAATACGAGAAGTAGAAATGCTGAATACAATGGTTCAGCAAACTCTAAACAATTCTGCATCACAAAATAATGGCTCTGCGCCAAATCCAACTCAACCGAAGCGTGTCAAAAAGAAAAGCGTTTCATTCTGCGATCAAGTAATTTTGGTGGCGACCGCAGATAATGAAGAAGATGATGACTTCATACCAAATCCAATTTTGGAGCGCGTTCTACGCACTGCACAAAATCCAAACGATAAAATAACAGCGCAGCTAATACAACAACAACAACAAAGTATGCTGCGTTTACAAAGTGAAGCACAGCCACGAGTAGTACAGCAACAGCAACAGCAACAGCAATCGCAACAACAAAGTCAACAGCAACAAATACAGTTGGCCCAGCAATCACCAATGTTAGGCGGTGACAGAAGACCGATTGTTAATTTGCAAGCACAAGACATGCAGCGTTATGTGCAACTCCAACGACCACAGATGGAAGCAATAAGACAACAACAGCTACAACAGCAACAGCAACAGCTACAACAGCAACAACAGCTACAACAGCAACAGCAGCAACAACCACCAAGTGCTGTACAACACATGCCAATTGGACAGGTTTACACTCCAATGCAAGACATTTACCGCATGCAACAACAACAACAACAGCTTGTTGCAAGTGGCCAAATGTCAAATAATTTAACACATATTGCACATACTAACACAACAACATCACCAGCAACTTTACAACAGCAGCAGCAGCAACAACAACAGCTAATGCAGTTTGAACAACATAACATACCGCTGACGTCAACAGCACGTACAAGTATGAGCGGCATCGCTAATGTTGCGCCTACGCAACATCTGCAGATGTTGGCAAATCAAGTTGGTCAACAGCAGCAGCAGCAACAGCAACAGCAACAACAACAACAACAACCGCAAGTACCACACTTAGATGGACAGAACAGCTATGTTAGCATGGCTGCACAACGTGCACAACAACTTCAACAGCAACAACAACAGCAATTACCACAAAGCTATTCTGTCCAATTACAAAAGCATCAACAACAATTACAGCAGCAACAACAACAACAAAATAATGTCGCACCATTTTATCATAGCATGGATACAACACCACTTCCTTCACCTTATCAGCGCGTGCCATTACCTCATGGTTATCCAGTTAATGAGCAATTTAGTGCTAATTCCAAACCGCCTTTAGCCTATCCACCTCCAATCCATCAAAATCCTAATCAACCTTCACCTTACTTCCCGCTACCACAGAACTCTGCTGCCGTGCCACATCCACTACCACAGCTTAACAAAGCTCCACACCAGAAAAAAGTCAGCTTTGAGCCAGGAACCAAAGGAGAGACTGATATACCCATCTCAGCAGCTACCTTGCCACCCAAACCTGCCAATTTCACGGTAGCACAACAGAATGGACTACCCGCTACGGACAGTAGTGTCAATGTTACTGCCATACCCACGCGTGTTTACAACAATGCCATCGTTAAGGCCTCCGCAAAAGCAGTGGAATGCAATCTATGCCGAAAACGCCATGTCATCGCACCCGCCGTTTATTGCACTAACTGTGAATATTATTTACAGATGTTAAGCAATCGCAGATAGAAGCAGTAGAGACGAAGGTCCTAGACAGACGGAAAACTACATTGTGACAATAAATATTGATTTCATTAGTGCTAAGATTGTTTATAAGTTTAAGTTTATTTAATTTTTAAAATAATTTTAGTACTTAAATTCATATGATGATGCCCCACGACTATGTACATAAGACTTGTACATATGTAGGTACATATTTTATATACTTATTTACGTTTCGAGCAGGTAAGTATATGCTTATTTTTAACGATATATTGTGATATTATTTTACAATATGACATGAGACTAATTCTCCAACTATACGAATCTGAAACATATCATTAATATTCACATCAGAGCGAAATAGTTGATTTATGGTTCTACATAGAATGCAACTATTAACATAGAGAGCAGTAATGATTAGAGTAGCTTGACGATATTGCTATCCTTTTCATATAAGCACATTTGCATTATTTTATGCTTAATAATAATATTTACCAGCGCATGTGAACTCTAATAAAAGCTTCCATTTGAAAACTTTAACTAATTTTAAATTCATATACTAATTTTATTAAATATATATATTATACATATTATATACGAGAATTACATAAAAAACATAATGCATTTCTTTCTACATTTATTTTATACGTAAATTAATAATAGTTTTATTAAAGTTATTAAGTTATTTCTTTAGTCCATGGCGGGCACTGTCGAACGGTGTTTCTTGCCGGGTCTTTAATTATATATATAATCTTTTTTTATATAGTTTATTTAAATTTATATTTTATTCTTAAAATTTTATATTATATATTTAATTAGAATAAGTTCAATATTTTTAATAAGTTTTATAAAGTTTTAATAATAAAGATACAAATATTTTCCACTTTTTACAGAGAAAACAATTCCAGAAAATAATTATATAATGAATAAAATATAAAGATTTTCTTTTACAGATAAATAAAATAATGTTTTTATATCATATAGAGTGGGAGGTTTTTGAGAATTGTTTACTAAATACAAAAAAAAAATGGGTTTATAACATATTTAAAAATATTTAAAAAATTTTTGTTCTGAACTGAATTGTTCTGAATTAATATTTTTATGTAGTAATAGTTTTGTTTTTGATACTTAAAAAATTTGGCAGTATTTTAGTATATTCAGAGAACTTGTCCTACAATTGATAATCCACATTGGACCTTACTTACTGTAAACAGATTAAATACCGACGTTATTAACCAACTGCTACAGACGTGGTGAAATTGTTGTTTAAAATTTTTGAGAATGAGACCAAGAGCGAAATTCTGACTAAGGTTTGATCACGGTAACGAGGTTAACTTGTGTTTTAAGCCTAGTATTAACATCAATGTTACAACAAAAATTAACATAAAATTCCATATAAGAAATCTATTTTACTATATCCAAAATTTCATGATCTTTGGTTCATTTTAGTTAATCCTTTTTTGAAGTAGTAAAGAGAACAAGAGTATCTAAAAGAGTTCTGAACTTAATTAATAGTTGCATTTTGACTATAGTAAAAATATTTTGTTATTGATGTAAATTAAGACCTACTTCATTTAATAAAAATGAAAGATATGCAATATATAAACAAGTGTTATAAATAACTAAAACTAACGGTGATAACTACTACTGATGAATGTGTAGTACTGGTTTAGGAAATAGTCAGGTTTACGTTCTAAAACTATTTGGATATGACGACAAAGTTATACTTTCCACTTCTGTTAGACTTGCTTCGGTACAGATAAAAATAATAACTGCTATTATACTCAATACTCCTGCTAGATTTAGGATGCAATATGGATAGCAGAAGAAACAACAATTATACTCACCACAAAGTGTGATAACTATACGACAAAGTGTGAAATCCCACTTTCATTTAAGTTGCTGCGGTACGGTTAACAATAATAATTGTGATTAAACTTACTACTCTCTTTGGAGTTGTTGCTTAATAGATCATAACAACAACAATGATTAAATTTGTAACAGAAAAAAGAATTCTTAAAACAACTTATCTTTTAATTTATTATCAACAAATTTACTACAAAATATACATGAGATTGAAATTCTTATATATAAATAACATTTATAAATATACATATTAGCTACTGTTACTAAAATAAAAATAATTATATAAACATATACAGTATATAAAAACAAATTAATCAACCTGATTATTAAAAATCACATATGATATTTACAGATAAAAAATTCGAATTTTTTGATATATAAAATAAAATACAACAAAATATACAAAATAAACGAGTTGTGCAGATTTAAGTACATCACAGCGCCAAATTATGATTTATGATTTTCAAATCCGGAAATAATGCCAGAAAGAAATCATTGAACTCAAACTTATCATTTTCAAGTACTACTTTTCGTTATCATCAAAAGCAGCATTGGAATGTCCAGCATTTCTTACACGGTTTGCATTACCATTAGTGTTACTCTTGGATGTTTCCTCTACATGACCATGTTCTGGATCATCCGGATGTTGAACATATGTATAGCCCATAGCGAGTAACATAAAAATGAACATATCAACTATCATAAGTCCTGCAAACAGTGCAAATTCAGCGGCCTAAAAAGTTGTTATAGTCAAATTAAATTTTCATTACAATTCAAAATTAATGAGCATACCTGAGATTCAAAGAACTTAAGTTCAGCTATAACAACGACCAGCATATTTCCAATAGCTACAGAAAGTAACCAACAAGCCTGTAACACAGACTTCATGCTCTGCGGCGCTTGAGTGAAGGAGAACTCCAGACCAGTAACGGAGAACATA